GGACAGTTGAGAGAGAGAAATGGGAAAGCGAAGAAGTGAATTGGAATGGGGAAAGTTACTGGAAATTATATGTAACAAATAGGAAAAAATGAAAATGAACAAAAGGAAAATTATACTGACAAAAAGAAATTGGCAAATAGAAGATTATGTAAAAATCAAGCACTGACAATTTAAATTCCACACAATTCACCAGGATGCCATGAAGCTATTTGGGTAATAGAATACACTCAATATTCTGAAATACTGATAAGGTTGGCAGGAGTTAATCAGAATATTAAAATTTGTCTGTGGAGGGCAGCTTGAACAGTGAAGCTGCTCCCTAAGAATGTAAGAAAGAACTAAAACAGCTCATCAAATCCTGAAGAGCACGGAGCCTTTGGCCTGGCGGGACTGAACGCATGCCAGAAAGAGGCCTTTGGCACTGATGACTGCCACACCAAGGCTGGGCAGCGACCTGCCTGGGTCCGTCTAGTATTTGTGATCCAGAACAGCTGACAGTGACAGAAGAGAAAATGAAGGCCTTTCTGTTATTACATTTGTATTTTATTTTTCCACTGAATGACGAGGTTAACCTCAGATGCCACCCGAACATAAACCTCGCCCGACAGTGGGATATGTTCAAGTGTGCTGGGGGAAATTTAAAAGAAGAAAAAACAACAACATGTCTTTCAAGTTCAAGAGAATCATTTCACTAAAAATACCACGTTGGATTAATGCATTAGCCAGCTAAGTACCCTGGCTGTAACATAACTCTTTTCAAGGGTTTTCAAATCTAAGCTCACCGTGGAGACCATAAAAACAGAACCCAACATGCACCTCACTTTAATGCTTGTCTCTAGATTAATTCATATGATTATTACAATGGCAGCTGAAAACAGTAAACATTACTTCTTTTCTTCCATTAGCATCAGGCTGTCAGTGTATCTGATGCCTAGGTTTCCCCAACCCCTTCTGCTGTTTGTAAAACAGAAAAAAACTTCTTAAAGAAATCTTAGAACACCAAAGAATTCTCAAAAGTTACTGCCTTGTTTATATATATATAGATATATATTTTTTTTAATGGAATTCTAAACAGTTGGAACAAGATGACGAGAGGTTGTTTTCAGGTTTGTATACACGATCCTTGGAGAAAAGCTGGGATGAGGTCGGCGTGGGCTAATCAAGTTACCAAAAACTGCACAGCCTGGAGTTGGTAAGCCTGGCACACCCACACGCTGGGAAGTGAGACAAGAGCTTCCCAGACATTTCTAACTTAGGAACTGAACACACCTACTTCCCTTTTCCAGTGGTTATCTTTGTTGCAGCGGCACTTGAGGGGTTGGCCCACTCTTCTTCCTCACGTAATCATCTCACACAATGATTAGTTCTCCAGGCTATTACATTTTGTGAAGTGAAGAGTACACCACCATCCAATGAATGAATAGGAATGATTTTCTTAATTACTACTGCATACTCGTTGGAACATTTTTCTTAGAAGCTATGCATTTTGAGTACTGGCATTAAGGGAAGATTTAAGTATACTAATTATGGGGTTTAATACGATGGCAGAATCAAGTTTAAGTTCACATGACTGTGTTAAACAGAAAGTAATATTCTAAAGCTCAACTCTCTTCCCCTGTAGTTTAATGATGACTGATAATCCAGCAACTGACAGGCCTTAAATGGTGTCTCTAATCAAGAAATAATATCCAATTCTAGAAACATGGTACTATTATGTCCTATCTCTGGTCTTTTTATCCATACCCACAGCTTTAACGCCATCTCGATTATGGTGAATCACAAACAGCATTTAATTTCTAGTTCTGATTTTTCCCTCAACTTCAGACCTCTGTTGCTAACTGTCCTAGCCATCACCACTTAGATATCTCACAAGCTCCACAAACTCTATTTGTTCAATCTGAAGTCATCAGCTCCCTCTTCCTCCTTGCCCTGTAAATATTTTGGTGGTAAAACCCGTCATCTTTGAAATCCTTCCTTTTGATCCTCATCATCGACATCAAATTTAGCACCAAATTATATTGATTCAGCCACTTAAACATGGCTCAAATCTGTCTCCTCCTTTACACCCCTGGGGCAAGTGGTTTAGCTTAAGGCCCTTACCACAGCATTTTACAAACGCTGGATGAATGAGAGTCTACATGTTGAAGTACGACGATGACACCAAGCTCTCTTATTCCCGTACACTGGTTTACATCAGGGGAACCCCTACATATTGCTTTCGTTCGCTCTCACAACTCCTTCGGACACATTAAGTGTCATTAGCTCTGCTTTGCCAATAAAGGAACAAAGCTCTGAGAAGTTAAACGCAACTGCCACACAGCTAGTTAATGACGGTCCGAGATCATCCTAACTCTGACCTCCGTGGTCTACTACTGGGTAGGTTTGTGTTTTTATAGGGTAGTAAGTACCCACTCTAGGCAATGGTTCAGAGAGAGGCTGGTCGAGGCCTGGTGGTGAGGATACTGGCAGACATCAAACAGAACATCCGACTGAGTGGCTTTTAGTAAGGTTCTGTTCAATTTGGAGACCCAGCCTTGGGTATGACTCTCAAGTTGACAAAGCAGGTATCTGGGATCTCTAAAATAGTGCTACCTTCTGTCCCTTCTAACACTGTTCCCCAGTGCAGCCTCCTAGCCCTTGACCACTGAATTCCTTAAGCTTGATTTGCCGTTGCATGGGGCAGCATCAGGCCTGAGAGGGCTCTTCTAACTGTCTAGTTTCAGAAATCACTCTGCTTTACCTGTAAAGTGCTCTTGACAAACAAGTTAAAGTTGAAATGAATCAAGTCTCCAGCACCAACTTCCTATTTAGAGGAAAGATGGAGGAAAGAAGAAGAAGGTCACTGACAGTAGAAACAAACAAATCCAGAATGTGGGATATTCTACAAGTTACTTAAGGGGTAAAATGAGAGAGAGAGAGAGAGAGAGAGAGAGAGAGAGAGAGAAGGAAAAGACTGGTCTAGAATTAGAGACCTAAGAGAACAATTATATGTAAAGCAAAGGGGTCCTAATTTATACAAACCAACTGGAAAAAAAAAGGCATTTAAGACAATTGAGGTACTCCATGAACTGGAAATTTTCAGAATAAAAAACTGTTTTCTGAATTCTTTCTTCCAAGAACCCTGTTGTGCAAAAGCAATAATTAGATTTAATGAGTTTTAATTGATAATGTTTGCTAAGGTGTGCTAATATTTCACCCTCTCCTATATACTTTATTTGAAAAATTCCAATTTCCAGAAGACTGTCACAAAATAATGTCCCTACTCAGGATTTCTGGCAACACAATAAATGAATGACATGTTTCGGTTTGGTTTTGGCACACAGTTCCTGCTATTACCTCTGCCTTTACCAAGAAAACCCACAAGCTATTTTTTAGTCATGGGTATTGGTTAGGTATGCTGATGACTCAAGCTGACTGTGTAAGAGCCGGTGGTAACCGAGCCTCGGCTGGCAGCAACTAGGTGAAGCTGCACAGGTCCTAAGAAGACACAAATTTAGGGTGGGGAGAAAGGCTTTCCAGCATAATGTTGGGTCCATCTTCAACATGTGCTCGGCCGGACTGCACATCCAACTAAACTGGCGTGAACTGTTCAGCGGTGTAGAAATCTCCCAATGCACAGACAGGCTTTTTTTAAGGAGCTGAACTAAACTTAGGCAAATATCCCAAACAGTTAGCCTACTACTGAGAACATACTGCTTAACAAGCCAGCCTCCCAGCAAGAGTCTGTATCACTGGATCTTCATTCACAACAAGGTATTTCCTATAACCCAGGAGCTCCAAGGCAAGCGCTTGAGAAAGTCTATAGAGAATAAGGAAGGTGTGACGCTGGCTTCTTTGCAAGGGTGGAGGAAAGAGCAACACGGGAGGTGCAGAGAGGCAGGACTGCTGACACAGACGACGGAACACGGGGAGCATTCATTCTTTGAGACGGCTTCGCCAGAGTTAAGGAAACAGTTTGTAGGAAAGCGGAAGGAGTGAAATAAGAAATGTGTTCCCTCTCTGAGCACATACATAAGTATAAGAAGAAAGAGGGACCCCAGAGTAAGCAAACAACCAAACGGAATCCAAAATTTCAAGTGAAAAAGTCACCATTTAAAAAAATCCCAAGTCAATTTTTCAGGCCTCTTCCAGGGTTCTGGCAAAGAAAAAACAATCTTTTCTGGAAGGAGGAAAAGGTACAAAGGGATGAAACTGAAAGGGCGCAGTGCAAGGAAATGATTTCAAACCCATTAACGTATTCCCTATTTTTTCCCAACCAAATCAAGGAAACTATTCTCTTCTACTTCTTATTGCATTAGAGAGTTTCCATGTAGTAAACATTTTTAAAATCAAATCTTCTATTTCATAAAGTTCCAATGATCTCAAGTTAAAATTAATCCAAGGCAAAGGTTAGAGGGGAGGAATGTTATGTGACTCCGAAGGCAAGGCAGAGGCCGGAAGAGGGACTGAAGCCTGTTCTACAGAAAGGCGTCTGTCCTACTACAGAAGATCAGCGCATCCGCAAACTCTGCCCCCAGAGAGCAGTGATCTGGTCTGGGTGGGTGGAAAATGCAAGGAGACACGAACAGTATCTCTTGCTCTGCTGTTACAGGTTACCACCAAGGGGATGAATAGAAAGACAGAAAAAATATCATTTCAAACTGAATTTTCCCTCTAAGAGAGGGAAAAACCATCTAAAAGCTTATGGATCTGTGTCAAGGGAATGAATGATATTTTAAAAATCTGGCAGTAAACCAAAGAGCTACACCCACACACAAAGCTTAACTACTTCCAGCTCACTAACTAGACCATGGATTTCCCCAGCTGGGAAGCACTGGCAGGGTTCAGATATTTTGAGAAGGGTGGGGCGGCCTAGCCATATTGTTCAGTAATGTTCCCAGATGAGGGTGGAGGGACTTGACTATATTCTAAAGAAATTTTCATCTTTGGCCTAAGGCGAAGGACTCCTGGGCAAGACGAGAGACAAACAAAAAGGGAAATTACAGTGAGGAATGGTTTACCTTCGGAGAGCAGTTGAAATGCATACCAGGTACTGGGAGTGTAGTTACATACATTGTAATACACCGATACAGGTACAGCGTGCCAACTATGCAGAAAAATCTTCTGCTAATAATAGACCTAGAAAAAGGGAAAAACAGGGCAGACACTCAGTCATGAAATTCTGCAGGTTCGTTTAAGTTTTCAATGACCCAACAAAACAAACAAACCCCCAAAACTACTTGAGATCTTAAAATCAGAATGTTGTAACTATAGTTAATAACAGGGTACGGTGAGAATTTTGAGAATCATGTGGTGGGGTTTTGAAAATGTTATCTTGCCGAAAGAGTTTAAAACACTCTATATTGCTATTCATTATACTTCATGAGGCCTTAAACCTGAGTTGACATTCAACTGATGTAGTAAGTGGGGCCCATTCTGACTAGTCAGAGTCCACTTGGTACCTATGGTTAAATATTCAAATGTCTTTTCTGTCATAAAAGGGGAGATATTTATAAAATCAGAATGACATTAAAATGAGAATTCAAAACTCTTCTGAAATTCAGTGAGCCGATGACACTAAACAATTTTATCTGTACACCCCAGAAACTGATTATCTTAGCTGATCACTGAGGAAGCATGAAGTCAAAAAAAGGGCATGTCTGAATGGCAGCATCCAACCCCCACCTCCCTGTTTACTTGTGGCCTTCCGATGTGCTATTGACATTTCTGAGTTTTAGTTTCCTAAATTGTAAACCAGATATAACATTAGAAAACAAGTGTATGAAAGATCCCTGCCATATGTGTACAATGGTAGCCATCAAATGCATAGTTTATGTGGTGAGCAAGAAAATAAGCAAGAATTAGAAATAGAGCTCTTTCTATTTCAAGTTGATTAGTGGTTCTAATGAAATTATTTGGCATGTCCATGTGGACATATATGTTGAGTTTGATAACTCCTCCTAATAATAAATTCCACATACCGAGATCTATTTTGCTTACACTACAAACTTAAGTGTATGCTTTGGCAAGAACGTTTCTTCCCTCTGTGCTTCTATCCTGCTTCAGCAACCACAGGCCACGATCGCAGGCCTGGGGGTCTCCTCTTTCTCAACTTGGTGGGGTTCAAATTTTCCTTGGCCTGGGGCAACTTAAGTGAAATATACACAAATATTTGATCACTCTACAACTGTAGAGTGTAGTTCTGCTTTTATGCTGGATATATATTTCTAGTGAAGTGTAACTGGAAGAGAATCTGTATCATTTGTATTTAGTTTTAATAAGAGGAATGAAGTGATATGTCACTTGTGTAATTAAAAATTAATTTAAAAATAACCCATGCAATTATATTAGCATTTCATTCATGACTGCACAGTTCATGTAAGTTAAATTACTTAGGGTATATGGGTTGAGCCTGGTATTTTGTCTCCATTTCAGAAACTGGGTCAGAATTGCTTACCATAGAGGCCATCTTATTTCTTTTAGTAAAGCTCTGTATTCCACTTCCAACGAGGAGAATTTATTCAGCATAGAGCTACCTTGTAAAGATATGTGCCTCTAATTTCAAGTATGATGAAAGCATAATACAATTAAACAATATAAAGGACAATGCTAGAGACCAATCCTAGCCCATAAATGTCTTAACAAGAATACTTGAAATAGTTAATTTTAAATTGTAAGATGTAATGGTCATTTTTCTAAAAAAGAAAATGCCCTCTCCAGCCACGATCAAATAGAGGTTACCTGCGATTGCTCTTGAACTATACAAGAAACATCTAAGACAGAAGCTTGCTAAGTCCAGGTCTGTTCATCTCTTTAGAGGAAGAAACACAAGGAAATGACTGCTATTACTCAATTTTGGCCATGAATACTATCTTAAAAACACTCTGTCTTACTGTGTCATGACAAACAAAGACATAGACACATACACACAAAAAACACACACCAGTAACTATTTCCATATCTCAAACCTGAGTCACACGAGTAGTAGTGAAAGGATTCAGGATTATTGGAGAATGAGGTATACTAAAAAATGATAAAGGATAAAAAAGACGAATCTTTTTACAAAAAAATTATAAAGTAACAAACATTGAAGATTCAGTCACATTTACTATTGGACTTGAAGAAGTCATGACTTCATTCCTGTGAATTCATCGATGCTAACAACAAACATGGTGATGAGTAGGAAGCAGTTGTTTACAAGAACGTTCTGACCTTGGCATTTACTTATCTTTTGGAAAGGGTCACCTAACATAAATTTTAAAAAGCAGGATATACAAATGTTTCAAGTATTGTATGCAATAGAGGTATTTATTTCATTAACCAAAAAATTTCCCACAACAGAATTCTTACTTAAAGGTTTAAAGGTTCAAAATGTGGTTTAAAAAAAAATACTCAAAGTGATTAAAACGACTGATCCCAGGCGTGGGTCTGCAGCACAGGAGGCGGCGCCACGAAACCCCCATGCTGACCGACGACGAGCCTGCTCCCGAGCTGCTGGGAGCTGAGGCCCGGGAAGTCTGCCCTGCCTTGGAGCCAGTGCCTCCAGTCCCCGAGGCAGCCCAGGGTGACACGGAAGGTCACACACATAATACCTTGAGAGCATCTGCCCAAATGCCCTGCCTGGAGGAGCCTACCTGCCTGTCCTGTCACTGCCACAAAGGACCCCTTTGACTTTTCACACAGAGACGCTTTTGTTAAAAAAAAAAAAAAAATTGCTACAACAACAAAAAAAGCCATAGAAGAAATGTTAATGAGATATGACTAGAGATTAAACAAATACGAAGAACTGGATGCAGGTTGTAATTCTCAAAAGCACAATGGCGTTCTTCTCATATGGGATACATCTCTCCTTTCATGTTGGAAAGAAGCCTGTTGCCCATCTGCTCACACTTGGCAATGACTATCACCCCACAGGCCCTTGTATTTGGTCCCGGTTACCTATTCTTCTTCCAAGCTTTTGAGATACAGGCTCATTACTACTTTTTCTGAGAGACAAGAAAAGATACCTGTTAAATGTGATTAAAAAGATGTACAAATAAAAGTATCAGTCAGTACTTCATACATAATTGGTAAGACTTGCTAGAACAGTATGTTATGTCCAATACAGGTGACTTTATTTTTATTATTTTTATTTTTTAAATATCCCTATTTAAAAAGGAAAAAGTACTCAGAACTTGATTAAATACTATCACAATTAGACTTAGAATAGTAGCACTCCACTGTTTTTGGCATTTGGTACAATGGTCTAAAATTTAAAAAAAAAAAGTAGTGACGCAATGAATATACTAAAAAGTAGTAATAAAATACTAAAACATTATTTTGTTATCTCTCTCAACTAATCCACAGCCAGAACATACATACAACTCTTTCAGTGCTCACAACTGATCTGCAAGCTCAAACAGGTCCTGAAACATAGCAAGATAATTCAGCATCGACCCCAACTATAAGGTGATTGAGAAGAGAGTGAGCACACCTCACACACACAGGATCGGGGAGGCCCATGTCTCTGGAGCGACATCGAGGCCGGTGTGTTTCAGGTCCCTGACTCAGGCCCCTGATTACCAACTGCAGTACAAGACCCATGGACAAGGCATCCTGAGCTTATCTTCATACAAATGCTAGCTCTACCTTTAACAAAGATTTACTTGGTGACCTCAACTATATCAACTAGTTACCTTGGAAATTAGGCTTCCTCACCAACAAAAGGAGGAAAAGGATATCTTTGTTATGAATCAGAGAAATGCTATTGAGCTATTTCCCCAGGGCGATATTAATTGCTACGGTTTTGCCAGATTTCTCCTATATGCCAAGCTCTGTGCCATTTAACTCTTACAACCACCTGTAATGCATGACTGTGATCCTTATTTTACAGATGGGGAAATTGGGGTTCAGAGTTTAAGCTGAAAAATAAGTATATTACACAAGGCAAAAGGATTCAGAAAATTGCTTCAAATTGTATAAGGAATCCCAATTTTATTTTGAGACTACAGTATTATATACCTATAGGTTAACAAGTATTTTATCACATTTAAGTTACATTTCAAAGTCCACTTAACTCAGATTTTTCATTAACTTGTATTTTATATTTTATATTGAGGCAGAACTCTACAAAGCAAGCATTCTGATAGTAATTTAATAACTGCACCAGTTATTAAAGTACTGAAGAATCCTTCTAGACATCTACCATTAAGTGCATTCTGTTTCCCATTATTGTCCACACGGTGGGCGCCTGGTTCCATTTGCTTGCCACCTCTAGCCCCCAGGTTTCATCAGTCAGTCTGAACTGCCACCCACTTCTCAACATCCTGAACTTCCACAATGACCTTTCACCTGTCGTCCCTAATTCCACTTGTGTCTCCCGAAAATCCACTCCACATAGAGCAGTCAGAATCATCTTGTTTGAAACAAACAGTGCATGCCCTTTAAAAATGGCTGCCCAATGTATCTCGCACAAAATCCAAACCCTTCACCAAGCTCAGGAGGTCCAAGGTGCTCTGGCCGCCTCCTCCCTCCCTCTAGAGTCCAGCTTCAGTCGGATGCCTTTGGCGCTCTTTGACCTATGCCATTCAAAGTCCCTCCTGCCTCATGTAGGGCCTTTGTGACAGCCATTCCCTCCACCTGGACCCCTAGAACAATGACTGTCCAGGTATCTGAGAGACCCCCTACTCGAAAGAAGTTTCCTGCTATCTCACCTTCCTGTTGGAATTTCTTCACAGCCCTACTCTTCTATCCATTCCACATTCTGTTGAAGCCCACTCCAAAGAGTTTCTTCCCGCCGCTGTCCTCCCTTTAATTCCTTGCACTACTAGCCCTTGGATTCCCTGGCTGCCCACCACTGTCTACTGAAGTTTCCGACTCCAAGGACTTCTGTCTATGCGACCCAAGCTACCTTAGTTGTCTTATCTTGCAGACCAGAGTTCTACTGCCCTGGGCAAAAGGAACTATTGTTTGTTCCCGAAAACCCCAGTTTTTTGCTTTTGCCAGCAAATATCTTTCTCTGGCCTCTCCCATTATCCCTTCTGCTATAATCCTATCCATATAGTCCACCTCAAATACCACCTTTGCATGGAGCCTTCCAGATGTCCCCAGCTGGACAGAGCCACTTCATTCTCCAAATCACTCCACGACTTTGTTTCTAC